TCGAAAACATGATGCTTTCCAAACGAATTTTCACAGATATCGTAACAAATGATACTGCGGATAACGAATATTGATGAAAATTACTACTGCACCTATCTTGGGCAGCTCAATATTATCCCATTAATGATCAATCAAAAAGAATAAGTATCAGATTGCACTTCGAAAGGTGGTGAAGATTTACCTCCATCATTCAATACCGAAATATTAAAACACCTAGGAAAACGCACGCTCACCTCAAAGCAGAGCATAGCTTCTCCCTCAGAGGCTCAGAATGGATGCCGCAGATGATGATAAAGATGTTCGACTCCAAAGGGAGTCGGGAGAGCTCTTGGAAGATTTCGAAAAATCGCTACACCCATTCCTCTATAATGTTACCAATAAGGGTCAATTACGAAGAAGAGTTCGCATAAGAGAGACAGATAGATTGACAGCATTGGTATGAGTTCCTCACCCCTCAACATACCATCTGCTAAAGTTTCACATAGCTAGACAATTTCCAAGAGCTTCCTCAACTTCTCGATCCACACCTTCAGCGATTGGTACCCATACTAGCTGATGCCTTTATTACCTCCATATCGAAACCACCTGTGAAGTCTGAGACCCATGCTCAACTTCTTATGCCACTATCAAAAGCGATTTGTCGATTACTTTATACATTTTGTAAGGTTAGGGGCGAGAAAGTTATTGTCCAGTTCCTAAGTACCGAAGTCAGACTACTTGATTTGTTACTTTCTGCTATGGAAAAGGGTACATGGATAGATGATGGAGCATGCGAAAACTCAACGGAAGAAGTATGGGGCTGGGAGGAACGATATATCACTCTGCTGTGGCTTTCGCAGTTAATCATGGCCCCTTTCGCTCTCCATTCCTTGTCGGCTAGTCCTCCGCCCAGTGGTGCCGAGTTATATCTTTCAGATTTTAAGTTACCATCAAACACTCCGGGCGTAGCTCTACGTTCCATCGCGTTAGCTGTCAAATATCTCTCATCCTCTGGGAAGGAAAAGGATGCTGCAAAGATCTTACTAGTAAGAGTTGTTCTCCTTAAGGACATGCAAGATCTTGGGCTCCTTAATTCTTCAATAATGTGGGCGATATCTGTTTTGAATTCGATTAACACGAATCGCAACATACATCACATCAATGGCGTTTTGTCTTTCCTTTCTGGGGTTCTCAAATCATCTACGGATACCCCTTACATGGACTCTAGCTTAGAGCCAGTATTTCACGCAGTCTTTAACTTTGTGGAATCCTCAGATCGATCTTGCAAGGAAGTGCAAAGCTCCGCTGTTGCGCGAAAGTTTATCGTAAACATTTTCCGTGGTATTGCTTTGCTCAATTTACGCCCATCTTTCACAACCATCGATGATACTTTGAGTGACTCTGTTGATTTTATGTTACAATCGCTTTTGGATCCATCAACACCGGTAAGGCTAGCCGCTAGTAAAGCATTGAGCGTCGTTATCTTAAAAGTCGAACCTGAACAAGCCTATGAATTTGTGCTTGCAATTTTCGAAATGTTAGAAGCGCTGCCAACCACCGATGTTTTGAATTGGCATGGTCAAATATTGACACTATCCCATCTTTTGTATCGACATGCAGCACCTCCTCAACTGCTCAATAAAGTGATTGTTTCTCTACTCAAAGCTTTATCGTTTGAAGGAAAGTCGACATCAGGTAGCTCTATTGGAACTAATGTACGAGATGCTGCATGCTTTGGAATATGGGCTTTAGCTCGACGTTACTCTACGGCGGAATTACAAAATATTGATATCAAATCCCAAGGATTTCGTCATGCAACGAATATTAGCTCTACTATACAAATTCTAGCAACGCATCTTGTTGTTTCCGCATGTCTGGATCCTGCTGGCAACATTCGCCGAGGAGCTTCTGCAGCACTTCAAGAATTGATAGGTCGTCACCCTAATACCATCATTGAAGCACTTGAATTGGTGCAAATTGTTGATTACCATGCTGTTGCTCTTCGATCTAGGGCTATATTAGAGGTCGCGGTTTCAGCTGCTTCGCTGGCCTATAAAACCGACGATGGAATATCCTGGCATCACTATGGGGAGGCAATTCTTGAAGCACTCCGAGGCTGGCGTGGAGTTGGTGATGCCGATCTTGCCACAAGACGAAATTGTGCTGAAGCATTCCGTCTTATAAACTTTCCAAGAGACACCAGCAATAATTCGACCACGTATAAAAGTTCTTACGAAACCCTGTGTTCATTGGATCAACAGCTTAATCTTCTTACTGTTCGCCAGGTTAATGAGCGACACGGGCTACTACTTTTCATAGCTGCTGCAATTCTTGAATTCCCGGATTTTAGCGAAAGAGATGATGTTAGTTTTACTTTCCAAGCATATTCAGACCAAATACTTAGGATGCTTACTTCTTACATATCAAATGTCACCACTCCACAAGGTTGGCGACGTCCTGAGTTGATCGCCGAAGCTTTATCTTGTGTCATTTTTCATTCTTTCCGTGTCTTTGGGACATCGGTAATACTTGGAGGAAACCTGGGATCGCCTTGCACAAATAGTGACATATCCTCATGGTTAAGTAACTCGAAGACGAGAAAGGTCATTATGTTTGAATATGAGGAACCTTACGCAGAACATATGCTCAGTGCCTCTGGTCATCAAACGATATCCGGAATACTGGGCAATATCATGGGCGTGTTTGACTCTTCCAATGGTCAAAACGATGCCAGTTCCCATAATTCAAACGGAAATATCTTGGCCTTCCAATCACTTGTTAGAAACTTTATTGGACACTTTATCGATGCAGGGTCTGAGGATTTGGTGACTTTTCTATCAGCTTGTCATCGCAGATCATTCTTTTGGAGCTCTGGTAACTATCGGGGTCTCGAGACCGATCGCATGATAACGCGGATTACTCAAGTCGGAAATACTAAGAGTCCATTGACCTTTTCTATGCTCTTGATCTCATATTCTTCATTTAAGAACGACCTGAAGAATGAATTGTCCGAGATTCCTCAAGATGATCGGACGAAGACTATTCCTATAACAATACATGAGAACTGGGATTCGACCGAGAATGTTTCCAGACGTGTTTACGATATCAAGACAAGATTAGCTCTACTTCCATACTTTGCAAGAGAAAGTAAAGCACTCGGTTGTCATATTATTCATTTCTGGGATATCGTTTCTCATGGTCTTGATGACTATCATACGGACCCAGCTCAAGGCGATATTGGTTCTCGAGTCAGACTAGAAGCAATTAAAGGAGCTGCTGCTATTTTCCTTTCCACCGATTTGAGAAAGAACTCAACCAATATGGAAGTTTTCTCGACGATATTTGGAAAACTTCTACGACTTTGCACAGAGAAATTGGATAAAGTCCGAACAGAAGCTAAGAAAGCTCTTCTGGTTATTCTTCCAACGATTGTATCTAGGTTCGTTGATTTTTCGGTCCATAACATTTATTAATACTAACACAATTCAGTTCTAAGGTTTTGTCCTTTGAGCAAAGTTCTATTTCTTCTTACGAACATTTTCGGTTTATACTAGACCTGCAAACTGCAGGTGGCCTGACCACGAACGCAACAACGGATGAACTCCAATGGCTCCCTTCGTGGACGGACAAGGTATTGGAAGGATATGTAACTTCAACTCACGCAGGAACAGAAGATCTCCGTCGTGTTAGCATCACTGCTCTAATCGACTTTTGCGAAGAAGCCCCAAAAAACAGAGAGTTAATCGGTGCTGCACTCGTCAGAAATCTAAAATTCCATCATCGAAAGAATGAAAAGGTGATAGTTGGTACACTAGAGACTATCGCGCTTTTACTAGATATGGGACTAATGTATCAGAATGATACAGTTGAGTTAGTAGTCCAACCATATTGATTGATTCACTCATTTGCTAATGTATTCTTGTAATCTAGTCAATACCAACTTCTGTGCGCCCAAGTTGCAAAAGAAGCTCTTAGTTCTCGAATAGACAAATGTAAAGCAGCAATTAAATGTTTTGGTCGTCTAGCATTGGTATATCCAGAAGCAATGAATAAGAATTTGTTAGGAATGCTTTGTCATAAGTTCCCGGGTATTAGGGATGCGGTTGTGGATGAACTTTGGGATTTGGGAGCTGAGGGAGTGAAGGGAATGGATGTTAAGGAAATTAAGAAGGGTGATGATTTGAGCGGACTTATTGGGAGTGCAGCATAGTTTATGATGGAGATCATCATTTTCGAGCTCGAACCCACTCAGTTTCATGATTCAACAAGATTTTTATTTGTCTTGAATGCTTGAAGTTGTTTGTGGGTTGACTTGTATATTGATGACTTGTACGCTCTTCTAGTGAAGGTCTCCAAGCAACGCTTAAGAGATAACACATCTGTTAAACTAGAGATAAGATTGTTGCTATGGTTGGTCTAAGATCATATCAATCTACCTAGTCTATATCGATTTCTTGTATCGTATGGGACCAATAGTACCCTAATCGACAGTACCCTTACAGTGTTACGTGATGTAAAATAATCCGGTTGTTATGATCCCTTATTACATGCATGATGCTACTTTGAAGGGGATACTGATGAGAGTCAGTTTTTGACGAAGGGGCGGAGCAGATCAGTCGCTTGTCATCATGTATATGGAGTTTTGTTTTCATATACTCTTCATTATGACTAAAAGTATAGGACTAATACAATTCCATTTTGACTCCTAGCAAGGCATGGATCTAAGGTGACAGTTGGTAGATCTATTCTAATATCCATACTCTATATGTATCCCTCGATTCCAATTTCAAAGCATTTCCGCTGTACTTCCCTTTTGTAGATTTTTCCTCTTTGCATTTGATTCCTTGTGCATTCTTCGCTGTGTGATTTATTAGGCCTTCACTTCGGGCTTGAAACTTTACTCGGAAGGGCTCCGATGAGCCATTGGAAGTGTAAAAGGTGGATATCTGGTAAGAAAATTGATGTTAGCAAGTGGTGAATATGTAATGTTAGACTGTCTATAGAATCCCGAACCTTTCTAATCAAGCGCTGACCACCATTCGTTGATACAATCTCACGTCCTCAATTGATTTCATGCACGCTTGCTCAACATTATCTTTCCAGCACAAAACGCCATCAATCCATATCTCTGCACCTTCAAAAGCAGAATTGCAGGCTTTCAAGATGGCAGTGAGTGTAACCCAGTTCTTCTTGTGGTATGCATCGGAATAGTCATCCCATTTCAAGCCCAAATCCAGTATCTGTGTGAGCTTCTTCACTCGACCGTCTGCTCGTCTGATCTTATGAGGAAACGCAATACTTTCAAGAGATCCATCCAATGATTCTAGAATCAAGGCGAACCCTCTATGACAATCTACTAAATTCAGTTCATCACCCGGCGCCATGAAGCCATTTCTATTTGACCGAATACCATACACAAAACTTCGTGTTATTGGAGAGCCACAACCATCGCCGAATAGAAGCAACTTTACTTGTTTCAAAGCTTTCCATGTACTTGTATACCGACCAAAAGCATCATGCTCATGTTTAGATTTTTGCAATGCCCTAAACCAGGTTGCAAGGTGTGGATCGCTCCTCGTGAATTCAATGATAAGCTCCAGACTCGTTATATTATCGATGGTATCTTTAAAAAAATTCCGTCGTGAAAAGGCGACAGTTTCCACGAACTTTGAAGGATCATTCCACGCGAAGCTTCGGTTTTTCCAAAATACTTCTCTGTATTCGCTATGGATTTGCTTGCAGGTACGAAGAACCTGGACTTGAGGTCGGGCTCCGGAAATGGGGGCTACCTTCTTGTCTTTGAGATCGATGTAATGCATGTTTATACGTTCGCCATCAGGGGTTGATATCATAATGCTCCATTCTGGATGCTCGAGGAGAACGTGTTTGAAGATGTTATCAAGGATTTCGGTGGGGAATTTGAGGAGATGAAGTGTACGGTCTTGCGAAGACATCTTGTGTGAGTTGATGATATAGATAGGGATATAGAGAGGATATATGTTTCCAGATTTTTTGAAAGGTCGAAGTGGTAGGTAAGGATTGAAATGGTATGCGATGATCGAGACGATATATTGTGATTGAGACAATATGATGATTGTTTTTATATCTTACGAACACAGAAAATGAACCTTTTTTTCGAAATTGTATAATCTGCAGTGATATGCATTAAAAGGAAACTGTCAAAGTATTTATAGGTATGACGGATTCGTTCATGCAGCCCTAAATTAAGCTTCCCTATAGTCTGGTCGAGTGACAACATTAGCTCAATCACCTCAGCCATTTTGAGGACACCATATTGGTAGTATATTACCTACTTTGTGAGGATATTCAACGCCAAGATATAACTATTTGAAGCTAGAGCAATTAGATCGTTATCCGGGTAATTGAATACTCTATTTGAATGTGATTAAATCTCTCTAAATCCCCGAATCCAAGAAAACCAAAGGGATCCGACAGAACTTGGATTCGATTTGAAGATAGAAATCCTGAATGTGAATGATAATGATGGCTCTTTCGATAATTAGGGTGCCTTCTTAAGGGAGACTAACTAAATAGACATCTGAAATCTTCTTAACTTTACAAAGCTTTGGAAACCCACCAGAGTCAAACTTGATATTGGCTGTCCTTACAAGCCTAAAAAGAAAGACAGAAACTTCAATATGAGTATCTGTCAAGTGTCGATCATATAATAATCAGTATTGATCTTCGGCTTCCGCCTCTTATTATCCTTTTCCAAGAAGATCCATTCTAGACGTAAGACATTGTAATTCAGACTTCATGGCGGGTAATACGGAGTTCTATTGACGACCATCATGGCTGCCCCTCTTTCATTCTTCAATACCGTCGACACTGGCACCGCCACGAATCGATTCTCCCAAGATAGTCTTATAGTTGACAGTTCGGGCCCTTTGTAGGCTTCAAAGTGTGGAATGTTGACTGGAAGGATCCGGTTTTATTTAGTAGCAATTCCTATCAACTGGATTTGAAACCAAAATATCGAGAATCACCAAGTCATCAGTATCCAGTGCCACGTATACACTCATTAACGACCAAATAGGCTACACACCAATCGATAACTGTGAACGAGGGGAGCACGATATACTTATTCTTATTTTCTTTCCCAGTACCGGTGATAGTTCACGGGTATAAATGTCTCAATTTCTGAAAAAGATTCGGATATTAATACGCTCCTCGTCCCCTTGCGCTATGCCATGTTTTTATGAAAAGTATAGGGCACGCAACGCCCCGATCAACATCAACCCCCACGCTGTGCTACAATCGTAGATGAAACTCCTGAATAGACATGTTACTTCTTCCCAGACTTTCAGATATCAATCTCTCAATAACATTTTCAGTTCAAATTGTAACCAAACGTCTCTTCAAAAAGGAAGAAAATTCCGCATCAGTCCCCCAAGCTCTGTCTGACTAATGCCCTACATCTAGACTTCCACTCTCTCATCTCTTTGCCCTTGGGATTTGCTTGTGCTTCCCTCCACATCTTTGCCGCGTCCACATTTGCTGGACTACTATCATTTGGATCATTCATGAGACTGACCACGCTTAATAAGATAGTTTCTGGAGTTTGAATTGGGGTCCATCGTTCGCTCGCATCTTCGTATCCAAAGTCATCTGTTCCCGATGGATGTAAAATGGATATACAGAGAACGCCTGTATCCGCATAGATATTTGGATGGAATGGAATTGGATCGCAAAAGGTAAGCGTCGGAGGTGCATGTGGATAGTTTTCGGGAAAAGAGAGAAGACAGCGCCAGTTGCCTCCTAGAAATGATTGTTAGTACGAGCTACGAAAGACTTCAAGGGAGTTGGGCAATAGAGCATGCCGCCATAGTATTTGCACTCGTCACTCAACATGAGCATAACATCCCATTCGAAAATATTATCCTTCACAAGCCCACAGCTTATGCCTGGTAAATCTTTTGCCTTTTGTATTTCTTTCAGTTGTCTGCCAAGCAGATTCGCTGCTGCGCTTCCCATCTTGTTGATGGTCGAATGGGCCGAGGATTCCTGGGTTATAATATTGATTTCAAAGTTGAAGGAGATTGTAGATGAGGAGGTACTCTTGATGTATCGAAAAGTCGCAGATGGTGGAAAAGTACCGGGTATATATACTAAATACAGTCTATGAGTGAATTAGAATGATTGAAGATCAACAGAAAGTCGTCGCACATGGAGATTCGATTCAATCACCATGCATTCACTACTACGTACCTTGTGAGGGAGGATACAAATCCAAGAAGTCGGAAGGGGGAGCTATTGAGACGGCACCGTGAACAGTTGGGGTCCAAGAAAGATATATGTTGCTACGTTATGTCAAATATTCCTGATTCGACAGAGTGGTACGAAGAATGCTCGATATTTTCAACTGGACTGCACTTTGAATTGATAGATGTTTGAAAATTTAGGATGTTTTGAGATGTACTGGAGTACAAATGAATTCAAGATACAACGATACTTATTAATCGTGAGGTAACGAGGAAAGGTATTAGAGTATCGGCGGATGGTAGCGGGGTCAAAGTCCGTGCCTCTTAATTTAAGTGAATATGAAGTGAAGCGTGAATTGTGATGATGAGTGTCAGTGTTGGTGTCAGTGCAAATGATTGAGTACGTGCGTATAACCTTATACAACTACGAGTGTAGGTATAGTTATATAAAGTTTCAAAATGAAGATATACTCAATTGATAATAAATACTACGAAAAGCTCAGTCGACGATGAGGTCCGTTTAAGCTTCGATCCATTTCCTTTTCTTGACAAAAGGTAATCCTTTCCAACTATCAATTCTTTCTAGCCTTTCCCTTCCTACCATAATCAAGAACAACCAGAGAGAGATTCCTCAAGTCCGACGAATCATCAATCATAAAGCCAATTGCCATTTGATTTGCATAGCAATGCTTCCCTACCATAGGGTACTGTCACATACCAATAACATCATCGAGATTAGATTATGTCGTATTTCTATCGACGATGATAAAATGATGGTAGTATGGTAGTGGTTTGGTGACATGATCGATATATGCAGATAAAGATCAGGGGTTCAAGTATCGAAGGAATTCTCCAGAGGTTATACAAATGAGTATCTCGGGATTTTGTCAAAATATCTGGTGTATCCAGCATATATATATGTAATGCGTGGTGATACCAAAGTAACCATTTTCTGTCATTCTCGTACCAGTGTCACGATGAAATACAACGTCAAAAGACTGTTTACACACATATGTTTTATCAGCTCTATCAGTAATAAAGGGGGTTTGAGATCATATATCCAAGAGATTTCCCCTCATTACTTCGCCGATTTCAATATCTGTATCTGATTCAAATCTAGATAATATCCGTGGATAGGGTACCGAGTGCCGAATCTCTTTGCGGAGGAGTACAGTCCCGCGTTATCTGTCTTAATCTGAACACCAAACTGGTTTGACAGAAGGATCTGATCCGAGACGGAATGATTTCACGATAGCTTCAAAAGAAAGGTCAATCCATGGCGTTTGTCAATCTCCTCTGATGGCTGGCGACCGGCAAGGTTATCAGATTTGTAGATATCTTTCATCGAGATCCTCTTTGGACACGGGAGCTTGACACTGGGTTGAAGAGCACAATCCAGGATCCCTGATCCATACTTGAGAGTACAAAACTGGTTTGACAGGTTCGGGTCCCAATCTGGATGGCTTCAAAATGGGCTCAGAGAAAAGTTGATATGGGTGATTCTGGTATCCCAGATGAGTATCGAGAGCGCATGATACCATATCTTCGGATATGCATCGAGATCCTCGTCGAAAAAGGCTTCAATAAGCAGGACAGCTCAGGCTGTTCCCTTGCTATCTGAGCACAGAATTAGTTTGACAAGCTCGGATCCATATCCGAATCACTCGACGGCAGCCTTATCAGATCCCCATGAACATGGTTTCCCGGTAGCCGGCAAAGCACATAGCCAAGAATCCTCCTTTACTTATGAGTACAAAGCTAGTCTGACGCCACTTTCGGGTCTCCGAGTCCAGATGACTCCACGATAGCTTCAAGGAAATACGACGCCAGTGACTTCCGTATCCTCAATCTCAATCAGTGCTTGGCATATTGATGCAATATTCGCGGATATCATCGATATTGTCTTGATTGCGGAGTGTCCGCATGTCTATCATTGATATGCTTCTTGAGAATATTCCGACTATTCAAAATTGACCTTCAGCCGTCGAATTGTTTCCACCTTGAAAACCCGGAGATTTTTCTTTACGAAACATCCAATCATTTTCACACCCGTATCGCAATTGGTGGATCTTCACGAATTATCTTCCCGGATTGTTAAGCCTCTTCATATCACAATCACAATCTAATCCTCTCCTCGACCCAAACAAAATTTCCCTTGATCTACTTCCTACGGCACTCTATCTTCTCAATCTCGTCAATCACAGATTAGCTCCCCTCTCAAACCCAAACAAGTTTCGCTTGCCGTTCTCTTCCTTCCATACCCAGCCCCTCTTCCCAATGATCTCTACTTCACCTTCCTTGACCAAATTGCCCAATGTTTTGTCATTTGCAACATTTGCTAGAAATCTCTTTCCTGTCTGCTTCAATATCCCGACCACAAATCCAGTTTGAGGCTCATTTTTCCTTGAAAATTGTACTGTGTATGTCTGCGAAATTGTTAGCTGCAGATAAAACCTCTTCTAATAAATCATGATTATTCCAGCTTCTTTCAATATCCGCTAGTGCAGATTCTCCTTTCAAGGAAATGGTAATTCTCACCTCGATTATCCCTTCCCATACTCCTTTCTTGACCCCTTCCGGACCAACAATCTCCAAGCCATCTTCTTCATCACTAGTAACACTCTGTACGATGTTTGGGCAAGGATTTTCATCTTGATATTTATTTCCGTCACTCTTTGGTTGCGTGGATAGACATACAACGTGCTGATATGTCAATACTCCTCCATTTGCTAAAATAAGACCGTTTGAAACTCCAGTATTCTTGTGATTAGAGATTTGACCTCTTTTATTACGAAGTTGCCGCGTCATTTCAGTGATTGCCTGAAACTTCTTAGTTCATACTCAAAGGCATTGAATACTCATACAGCTCGATAACAGTGCTAGGGGTGCGACGAAGGCGTCTTCTGTTTAGGAAATCCCTTAAGACTTAAAGATACATACATGTAGACTATAATTATTCCCGGCACCACCGAAAAATGTCAAGCCCCCCAACAAAGTGATTGGTCTTGGAGGATCCAAAAAAGGAATCTTCAAGTGATGAGCAGCCATTTTCGGGACTATTGGAAAACATCTATATTTTTCGTCAGCTGAATGGTATACTTTCTGCTTGACTAACTGTGTGCCTCCCCCCGCCGATCTTGTGAAGATGTACTTACGAGTAAAAATCAAAGATATCTATATCCTTCGTCTCCAAGCCCGAAATATTCAATGCCGAATCGAGTGATGTCTCCAAAGCTTCACTAGAATAGAAATTCGGTCTCTCCCAAACTATTCCCATTAGCTTTTTGTCTTGCTTAAACTCGTTTCTTCAATTGTCGCAAGACAGAGGAGGTAGGTTGCATACAATTGTCCTTCTCACGCATCCCAGCACCACCTAATGGATATATCCATTTATTTTCTGGAATTCCCAGCTCGGCAGCAAAAGAAACAGAAGTGATGATGCAACTTGCGGCCATATTGACGTTGTTGAATGCATTCATTAGGAGGGGATCTATAACGTCCATTAACATTTTCATCATCTCACCCCCAAAACCATCTTTCCAAGACCCAAGAATGTGACTTACATGGCCAACAAATCATTCTATTCCCCTTCCCTACCTTTCCGATACTCTCTTCGCTTGACTTGCGCGCCGAATCTTTATTCCAAGCGAATTCATTCACAGCTGCGACAGCAGCAAATTGGGCATATAATTTTGCAGATTCAGCATTGTTCTCTGCTTGGGATTGGTGACGATGGGCTCGAAATGCATTTTCATATAGCGGGTAAACATGTATTGGGAGCCCAACTTGATGGATTGTTCCTAGAGCTAAGGAGGGGAGTTAGTTTAAGGTAAGGGTTCTTAGCAAGCAGATGAAGCAGATGTGATTAGAGTTTAGAGCGGTGATTTGTTCCACTAGGTATTCGTGGGGACTGTTGCTTGTTTGCGAGATCATAAAAAATCTTCCCCGACTTCACTCAAATTCTCCTCGTGATTGTCTCTTCGCAGTCTTGCGTGCTCGTCGGCATCGACATTCTACACATGAAAAAGTCGCTGGACTTCACATTAAGCAAACATCAATGCTCCCATATTTCGACTAATGTCTTGTTTTCATCCTCTTGCATTCAAAACAAGAACCAAGCCAAAAAGTCCCGGGGGCATGATCGTATGATCCCAGTTTGGAGAATAAGGGAAGATGATACATACTCTCAACGCCGTTCGGCAAAGCCAAAATTCTTCTTGGGTCGCCGGCTGGCGGTGTCCAGTGCGAGGGGTATGTACCGGTCTTTGATGCGGATGCAATCACTATATTCAAGGGGACCGTTAGTAAATGTTTGGTCATAAATTTCCCTCTCGAATTCGAGTGTCCCTTGAAGATGAGTTTTTTCCTCGCTATGGATCATGGTCTCTTCTCTCATGCTGCGTACTCTATCGGCACCAGCGTGTATCACCGCTTGATGATATCTCCTCGTTTTTCATTTGAGAGATCTTTTTACCCCAATTGGTATCGCTTGTTGCAGAGACCTGACCAAAATACCACTCCCCTTTTCCCTTCCATCTCGACCTCGCTTCCTGCTAAATTCCCGAGTCCCGGCCCCTCCGCGTGTCTCACTTCCACTATCTTCAAATCATCATACCATACTCTTCCTTAACTCAAATCCGCCTCAATCCCTATTACGGATATCAAAAATACCTTGAAAGCCGAAACCACAAAGAAAATGAAAAAAGACTCACAACTTCCCAATGCCTCTCCCCCAACCACAATCGCCACTTTCGACTCTCCCCTTCCCACCCTCTGACATGCTTCATCCAACATCTTCACCGGCGAATTTCCGCCGTGTTCTGATTCTTCTTTATACACTTTCTTTCCCAAATTACCATTCCCCCTCTTTTCTTCGCCCAGAATTCCATCCAATACACTCTGACACACATCTACATACGGCCATGTCCAGTTCCTTACCACTCTCACATCATCCACACTTCCTTTCATTATTCCCAACTTTTCTTGATCATGGGATATTCCGGTATCTGAAAACGACTTCTCCAGAGATTGCAGCATAAGTCCTAATGGTTCAATCGCATCTTCAACCTGCAGGGAACGATTTATCACATCTCCGACGCCGACGATAATCGGTGTTTGTGGTGGTATTGGCATTGTGATTTGGATATTTGAAATGTCAAGACGAGGAGGTGTTGTTCAAATGATTGCCGGGTGGGTGGGGGAAAATATGTGTACTGCTACGATGTATGTAGATATCCGAGGCAATGAGGTCAAAAGAACATTCAATACTTGCAAGATATGAGCATGAAATATGAGATACAAGAAGCAAGATTGCTAGTAATCGCACAAAGATACAACTTTATAAATACAAAATCCCAAATCACACCCACATTTCCGCCCCAAGAAGCCACCAATTCCCAGTTCCAAGTCCCTAGTTCTAATCACATGAATTTGATAATACAGTAATCATCCCATCTCATCCTCCCCCCTTCCCGCATGCATGCGCGGGGAATTAAATAACCAGAACATACCTCGGGCATCGGACTCGGTTGGATAATGTAGATTCTGGGGATATTGATTGGATTGGAATGTAGCCAAGGGCTAAGGGCCAATAGGAACAAAGACTTTTGAGAAATCCCTGGAAAGGTGGATATTGTAACTCACATCCCCAGTGTATCCGGGGCTCGAGCGTTTCGTCATTGCGAGAGCGTAGATTAGAGAAGAGGGAAGAGAATTGGACAGATAAGATACGCATACCATAATAAGATAGGAGTTATTCAGTGACTGCAATAGATGTAGGTGAATTGAAAACTAGAAGGTAATGGGACTGCAAGTTGGTATGCCGGTAAGTATATGACCAAGTCCAGGCCGAATTTGAATGATATGTAGGTCTATGTTTTAGGTCAGAAATGGACGTACTTTATCATCAAATAGGTCAAATTATGAAGTCAGAGAGTAACGTTCTATACTTTTGCAACAATTACATCGCGTATACATCGAACTACAGAGTCTAGATTCACAGATTGGATCAAGAACATTGATTATACTAGCACAAGTGAGTAACAATTTCATTTGCTAAGCAGTCATAAATAAGTGTAAAGTAATGTAGTGTGTGGGAGAACAAATGTAGCACGAAAGTTCGCCTCTTATCCAACCCCTTTCCGTTACCCCCCTATGAACAAATGAAAATTCGGGTCGACATCTCATTGAGAGTATCAGTTCCCACCAGATAATACAGAGTTGAGACCGGTTAAAGCCATTGATATCAAAAGTATCTGATCTGTCTCTTACATCTCGAATTGAATTGGTGTTCCATTGCTGTCTGTTCCGATAATAACCTTTTTGTGATCGACACCAAGAACCATTAAAACTTCTGCACACAAAACGACGGTGAAGAAAGTCGCGACGGCAATCTCCATAGCAGCAGCCTTGACATATGCCTTCAAAAGTCTAACACGTGAGTTCCAGTCAAAAGTCTTCCATGCATCAAGAGTGCCCAAGACACTATCTTCAGAAACACGTCCACCAAATGTACGGTCAAAAGGTACGATAGATTCATGATCTTCGGAAAGGAGAGAAGCTTGAACACGAATAAGGCTGACACTTGCTGGAATGAGAACAAGGAAAGCAAGGGCGCCGGCTAGAACAATGACGGAAGCTGTTTGGATACCCATAGCTGAGGTTTGTTGCTGGGTCATCTTTGAAGGTTCACTCTCGAATGATTCGAAGAGACCGATTGAGAGAGCAAGGTAACCTGGGAGGAAGATCGCAGCTTGTTTGGCGAGAGCAAAGACAACTGTTGCTGGAATAACCTTCTTAATAGTTGCAACATCTGGCATTCTCTTGAACCATGGAAGTGGGCTTGGCTCCGAGATGACAATGTGTGTCCATGCCATACTGAAAGGTGCACAAAGGACATTCGCAAGAGGATAGGCGAAGATACTGGGGAGGAATATAGAGAGAAAGTTCATTTGTAGAGCCAAGACGAAGGTTTTGACGAAGTGCATTCCAACACCACGTAAATGACTTTGCTTTCCGGCGCGGGCGCGAAGGTGCTCGATGGTTGATTTAAAACTTGAGGTAATGGGTTGCTGCTTTACAAGTAAGAGTTCCGGTTCAACATCTCCTTTGTGGCCGAGCTTCGCATCGGGATCCTCAGATGTGAGAGGTTCGAATAGGATTGCTTGAGGAGATTCGACCATAAGAAGGGTAGGAACGAGTCTGGTGAAGGTATATTCAACCTATTCTGATAGTTAGATGATGAACTCATGAACCCAAGAAGAATACCATGGAGAGAGTAGCCTTAATTGACATTTTCGAAACATACCATAAAGTCCATGATCAAGAACACAACAACAGTACTTGCGATCATCATAACGCCCCAAACTGGCATTTGAAATTCTTCAGTTGGTGTCTCTGTACCCCGAAACGCATCAAGACCTCTTTTCGCCAGCCCCATAGTTGGGAGCATTTCTCTTGGAAGTATTCCCATAATGTCGACTTTATTCAATACAACTTCTCGATCGATTGCGTTTTCAATATTTTATATCGTAGTATGTGAAAGGGTTGTACTGAGAAAAAAGAAAGATGATTTAGTAGGGAGATTTTATTCAAATTTGATGAAAGAAAATAGGAAAGTAAGAGAGTGAGTGAGCAAGTGAGTAAGTGAAATAGGAATGAATGAAACATGTGAGGCGGGTAATCAATACGAAATACGATCATAAGCGTGTGCGGCGTCATTGCTCCTGAAATTGTGGCGCAGTCGTCTTAGGAGCCTACCTAGGTAGGTAATCTATACCATGAAGAGTCTGGAGTGATTACATAATTTACATTGAGACCTGCAGATAGCCTGGAGTATTTAGAAAATCCGTGGATATTCTTTATATTGATTGATAAATACTAGGTACGTATGATACAAGTGAAGATGGATGGCTATAAAGGAACAACTTAACGCCTTGAATGAAATAACGTCAATCAACTTGATATCCCTCTCATATTGTCATCTACGAGTAATCCGTCGGATATACAACACCCACGGGATATACGGATCACGGCTCAATCATCTACCCACCCACGGCAACAGAACAAGATTTTGCCTCTTCCTCCTTACCATAGCAAATCACCTCCAATCAAATATCTTGAAGTAAAACGTATATCAATTAGCTACCTAGACTGCCCTCACGGCCGTGGCTTCCGGAGGACAAGCGGAGCGTCATTTCATTTACACAGCTCAATGAATCACCAAGATTATCTTTTCTCTCTTTCTGTTGGTGTTGTGTTCCATCTTGGCCATATCCTGGCCACGCTTCTGTGAAGGATTCTTCACTCATAAGTTAGTTAAGAACAGATTGCTAATTGCTCAAATTGGATGATTGTCATATATAGGTACCTACCTACCTGTCCTGAGTACGAAACGTTTGTAGCATGCAGCTTTCTCATGGCGGGACTGGGGTCGAAATTAGCTACATGAAGTGTGGATACTATTATGATGATAGGGCTGATGATATTAGCAACATTTAATATATGCATCGCAAATTGACCCATGACTTGCTGTCCATGTCCCTTAAGCACCTTTATCCATCGATGTTACATCTACAGAACTTGTAGTACACTGTATCTGTACATTATTTACAACTACATGCATTTAGGATCCATTCCTTTCCACTCAATCAGTCAATCAATCCTAAAAGTCTCCCAGCGACCCCATCCCATTCTTCATCCCATCTCTTTCTTCCTTCTTCAATAGCCCCCTTCTTTAATCTCGCCAATTCCTTTCCACTCGTATCCTTGAAGACTTCCTCCAAAATCTCGGCCAAATCTTGCGCTGTTGTAAATCCCCATCCATTAATACCTTCCTTGACCAACTCAGGCCAACTGAAGTATTGATCATATCCAACTACTGGTAATCCTGCTCCAAACATATCAACAACCTTCATCGGTAGATCTACACCACTACTACTCTTATGCAAACAAACTCCAAGGTCGGCGCATGCAAGTAACGAGGCGTAATCTTCAATACTAAGCCATGCAGTCTTGATTGTAACATTAACCAGATCATAGCTTTCAGTGAGTTCGGCAATTCGATCAAGATACATCTGCTTCTGTGGTCCTTTTCCAGTGATGATAGCAAGAATTGGTGGGCAATCAAATTCGGCAAATGGTCCATATTTAACGAGCGCATCTAAAAGGAGGTTGAAATCTTCATCAGGAGTCCATGATGTACTGCTAACTAGTAGTCTGATATCTCCATTCATAATTGTGTCGACATGATCTTTTGTTTCTGGTAAACGTTGAAGGAAAGCACGTCGCTTCGCCTCGTCGGTAATCGGTTGGAAAATAGACGCAGGTCGATCGTGAAGGGTAAAGATTGGTGATTTGATCTTGTAGGGACTTTCGCGTAGTTGGCGCTCCATTGCTTTCGAAACTGTGAATGAAGCTGTTGGTGCCCATGATCCAAGGAAAGCTTCGTACCACTTGTACAGTCGAACGAAGATATGTTTCGGACCTCTTGTTCCTGCTAGAATGGTCCATCCATAATTATGCCAATCAATTATTAAATGAGTATTGCGTATCAAACAGACGAGGTATGCGACGAAGAAGGTGGGAATTGAGGGAGGGTTCTAAAATTGTTAGAGGATCATTGCGTGTAAGGGCCGGACGACTTACCTGAACTAAAAGCCATCTTGCTGGTTTTGTAGTATAACATAAAACATAAAACAATGTCCAAATCTGCCATAGAACTTTGCAAGGACCTGCGAAGAAAAATGGTAAAGTACCATCTCGTAAATTTGTTGGTGGTAGCGGTAAAGGTACGATTGTAATAAGAGGATTATCTGTTAACCCAGAAGGGAGTTCGGATTCTATGTCACTGTTAGCACAAGTCACCAAGAAAGCTTGCTTCTCAGTAAGCTTTAATACCTTCATATCCAATAAGATCAACTCTTCCGCCATGTTTTGCTATACTCATAGCATGATATTGCATTCGAGGACTTCGCCCGATATCTCCCAAGACCAAAACCTGAACAGAGATCTTCGGCTCGACATTTGCACCATTTTGAGTAGCCATTGGAGGCGAATGTTTGATATATTGTTTTGGTATTAATAAGAGGGTAATTGTGAATATGGTAGAAACGATTGTAGCCAATGTTAGGATATTCTCTAGCATAACGTGGTTTCCTGAAATTCAGATGAAAGTTCGGACACCTCCAGATAATAATAAACCTTCACCCAGTCGGAAACTATCTATGAATAGAAGAATTGGCTAGGTTATGCCTCCATATCTGAGGATTGATGCAAGCTTGATTAGGGAAAGAAGATGATGATAAAGATTGTCAGAAGTAAACCAGAAGTATATGTATATTTTCAGAAGTGAAGTTTGGAGTTTGGAGTGTGAAGCATAAAGTTTTGAAGTATCAGAATGTATTCTTGTCCTTCTCTTCACTCCACTTCAATGCTTCACCTCACCAGAAACAGATCACCCATTAAGAAAAAGTCGGTGTCCGGCGGTGGCAGTGGGCAGTATTGACTCAAACAGGCTTAGCATTAGGTATCATCCTTGTCATCATACCGTTCAAGTCATTTTCTTGTCGTTATCTTTCAAAAAGGCAAGTGGGATTTATTTCAAGGTAATTGATTGGATGTCGTTGATCGAAAGCTGTTATTTAACATAATTGATTGGATGGCATGAATTTGAAGTCGCATTTTCGTATTCGAAGTTGAAGTTGCATGCGTACCATACGGAGTAGATAGAACCTTGAAAGCCTTTTTCCTTTCCCGTAGCCACAGATTTGTTAATCCAGGGGAAAACTCCAAGAAAAGGTATCTGGGGTTGAATGGAACTTCCTTACTGGCTCATTGGTAGGATCATCAGCATAATTTCGAGAGAATTTCCTGAATTGGGAATTGATTCTTGTACTTGTGCTTGCTGTGTACGTTACGTACCATGCTCGTGCTGTAACTTTCCATTTCTCTCATTTCTGTCTTCAATTCAATTCCTACTCTCACTTCATAACAAGACGCTCATTGACAATCGACAAAAGATTGAATCGAACTATTGAGAATATATATTAAATTGGATCTCTTGCTGCATTTGACAACTCTGTCTATCCACTTTCATCGTCAAAGCTCCTACTATCTACCGAAGCCGACCTATCTCGGCGCAAATCAAAACAAGGAAGGCAGAGAGAGAGAGAGAGAGAGAGAGAGAGAGAGAGAGATACTAAGGACAACGACAACATATGTGGAGAGGGGCTGAATATATCCGGGCTTCATAGCTCGTTCGATCCATTCCAGAATTAACGGAGTCATGGCCTCATCTTATGCGTTGCCGGCTTCAGCAATTACCAATAGTCACCATGGACATGGACATGGACATTCTCATTCCCATTCATCCTCACATTCAAGCCGGTCCTCGCAATACTCTGCAAGTAGGTCCAGACCATTGAATCAATCAATCTCAAGTCTACATAGCCATTCGCACGATCATTCCGAAACTCTCCATGAGCATGAACATGAACATGAACACGAAAATGAAAACAATCATGGCCACTCTCACTCCCACTCTCATTCGCATGGCCATGCGCACAACCACAGCCATGATAACTCAACATCATACCTGCCGTCACCGCCATATAGTGAAGCGACTCCCATGTCTGCCAACTTCGAGAAAGGATCATTTGGGACCTACGAACCTCCGATGAACGACGTACATGTTGACACCCATCACCATCATGATCATGACCACCACAACCATTCGCATGGTACGACAACTGAAACGAAATCACGATTTACTAGTTTAATACTGCCATACGCATCCAAATGGCCTCTTTTACATGCAATCTTGGCAAGTAAGGATTCGAGGAGGATCTTTTATTTCATGAGGTTGGTATTTCCAAGTCATTGGAGAATCATGCTAATTTTGCCAGTCTCAATTTTGCCTTTATGATCGTTCAAGCATTTTACGGATTCGTTACAGATTCCCTCGGTCTTTTGAGCGATAGTATACATATGTTTTTTGACTGCTTGGCACTTGGAGTGGGATTGTTTGCTGCAGTGGCAAGTAAATGGCCACCGAGTCAAAGGTTCCCATACGGATTTGGAAAGATTGAGAGTTTATCGGGATTCGGCAATGGAGTATTCCTCATGTAGGTAACTGTTTCTCAATTGTGTGGTACTCGCTAACAAAGTTTATAGACTCATTAGCATTGAGATTATGATAGAAGCGACTGAACGATTAGCAGAAGGACGAGAAACAAAACGGTTGATGGAACTTTTTGTTGTCAGTTCTTTGGGATTGGCAGTCAACTTAGTTGGCATGGCGTGCTTCGGTCATCATCATCACGGACACGACCACGGCGATCATGATCATGGGCATGATCATGGCCATTCACATGGACATTCTCATTCCCACTCTCACGATTCTCACACTCACTCCCATGACTCTCATTCCCACTCCGGATCTTGCGATCACGGCCACAAGAAACAGCCCTCAATTCTCCACGATGACCATTCACATTCACATTCACACGGTGGCCATTCGCATGACAACGAAAATATGAGAGGTATCTTTCTTCATGTGCTTGCAGATACAATGGGCAGTGCTGCAGTCATTGTCTCTACCGTGTTAATATACTTTGTTGGATGGTCAGGCTGGGATCCTCTCGCATCTTGTCTCATCGCAATTCTCATTTTCCTTTCCTCAATTCCTCTTGTCAAAAGTAGTGCGAAGAAACTACTTTTAACAGTTCCTGATGATACCGAATACAACTTACGAAACACCTTGGCTGGTGTAAGTGATTTACGTGGAGTTCAAGCCTACACTGTTCCAAAGTTTTGGTTAGGCGATAAAAATCAAACAGTATTGGGAGTCATGCATGTTGTTGCTACCAGAGGATCAGATCTTGAAGATGTTTTAACGAGAACGAGAGCATTTCTTTTAAGTAAAGGTGTGGATGTGGTGGTACAAATTGAGAAAGATGGAGACGGTAGTTGTTGGTGTGGAGGAGCAGGTAACAGCAGTCGATCGAACACAAATTCGAGATTTTCCTAGTTGCACAAGATTTATGAGAGGGATTTCTTTCATGGAAGAAACATCATGGGATGACGATAGGATTGGAATAGGATATTGATGAATTGATGGATACTTTTATGGCAGAAAAGACGTGTACATGCAAATAGCATTTAGATCATATTAGCAGTACTTTTGTAGAGTTGGAATGAAACGATACCATGTTTATCTTCTACCCTTGGAGCAAGATATATCGAGAACCTTGAGCGCATTGAACGTCACCTTGAGAAGTCTGGATTCATTATGACTGATTAGATAATGAAGAAAGTAATGAAGGAAGTATTGAAATGGTACCGGTGTCAGTGGTACAGATAATATCGCTGTCCAAGAAGACTTCAAAGGAAAGCTCTCAATATTCAGCTCTTTCCACATCATTTTTGATCTACTGTACGATATCTTATCACATGTATGAACGAAACAGAGGTAACATGACGAGAAAAAGTTGATAATTTATTTCTAAAAAGACTAAACATCCAACCCTTCAAGATATCTAGTCGGAAGCCCTTCAACCGAAAAGATGCTATTACATAAAGTAAAGAAAAATGAAGCCAACAACCCCATTTGACCCACCCACATATCACTCACTACTCCCAAAGTCCATCCCTATGAAGACAAGCTACTGCATAGAGTATGATTGCATCACAATTCTTCTTGTTGGTGCCATCTTCCTTATGTTGAAGTCTGCAGTACATCCTAACCTTGCATCCCTCAGGCTTCATCTTGCCAGGCTGAACAACGTAGTCATCTTGACAAAAACCCATGACATCACTGTGAGCAATGCCACCGGGCGGACGGGGATGACCCGCTGGAACTTGAGACTGGGTGTACTTCTGCTTGTGCTTGCAGAATGGTTGATGTGGACAGAGATCGGTGTAGTTAACCTTGAGAATGAGAGACCATGGACAGACATTCTGGTATTCGTCATCGAGCGTGGTGAGTGCTCGTCTCAAGATGGTAGAAACTTTGATGATGTAGCGACGATGATCATCATCGCTGAGACCAACCCCTTGCTTGTAATGAACGGCGAATTTCTCAAGGAACTTGAGGTCTTCTGCGTAATTGAAGCCGGAGCTAGGTACCGTGCGAGGATTTCTCATAATATCTACTGCAAGCCGAATCTGGTTAACGGAATTTTCCAAACGCTCTTCTTGAAATCTTTGATAATGTCCAGCTTCTCTGAGCATCTCCTTTGCGTCTGTGAGAAGATCACCGCAAACCTCGGAAGAGATTGGATGGACTATTGACATGTTAGTAAGTTGTATATTGACTTGAATATTGCTTGTGTTTAATGTCAAGAGGGAATCTTACGATGTTCCTGGGTGCAGATACGACGTGTAGAAGGAATGGGCTGAAATACTACACCCTCATTTTTGCGCTGAAGCTCTCGCGCAAGAAAGCTCGTCATTGTTGCGTTGACGAAGTCGTTGAGTACTTGCTAAAGAATGTTGACGAGTTGTATTTATGAGCAAGGCGGGTGCGATGACTTGAGATGCTGATAGCAAAAAGGTGCTCGCAGATCGTCAGATTGGAAACTTAGTGTGAGAATTGACCTTGCTGATTTTCGACGAAGTAACAAGGTGGCTCCAGTTTGCGTGAAAATTCGAAGTAATTGTTGAGAATGATCGCGGTCGACAAATTTTAGATTCAGATATTGGCACAGGCAGAATATTTACAAGCATTACCCGTCGATATGGTCCTGGATTGGTTTGTGAAAAGTAATTTGAGATAATGAGTGTCAGACGTCAGCTGGGAGAAAGAAACTTTGCTATTGCGTCGGATTGGTGAGTTTCGAAAAAGGGTTACGGGGAGCTGCTTCTTCTTCTCAATCAATTCTGAATAAAGTACAAGGTCCGAGACAGTATAAACTGTCCGAACCGTTGGATAAGACAAACTCTTCAAGTGAAAATTGGGGTACGAATTATGAAGAGTGTGTGATGTTTTGGGAGGAAGTTGTGGCGTGGGAGTTGGAAAACTAAATACTGAATTTTCAACGGCATGCAAATTCACCAAGGCTCTCTTTGTTGGGCACCCTGATGGAGACTTGAAACAAAATTATCTTGTAAAGAGGTATTACAAATCTAATAGACTTTAATAGAATGAGGTGAAATTAGTAGCTGTCTTGTGATTCTTAAATTTGAAATTTTGATGATGAAATTTTGAAATCAAGAAAGCCACCAACTAAACATTATCATCAGTAGACTTCTTATCTAGACATCATTAGAGGCTTTGAGTTTATTATTATGTACTATAGTAGGCACAGATACAATTAATCTAAAGCAGGAGCAAAAAAAAGTTGTTTCAAAGAGTCTTGACATTTTCAACATTCTCTTGATCATTCTCGGCTAATTCGAGGGGTAAAAACAACTGAACAAACATGCCACAATTAGAAACAACTTCTTCAAGATAAATTACAACAATTTGTTTTCTTTGCCTAGGAGGGAGCTGACTTATTTTCCATCCTAATATACGAGGCCAACTCTACTTTCATATCCTCTAACAAATGATTTGAAAATTCTAGACTCGTAATAAATTGCCTCTCAGTGCCTCTAGCTGATTCTGAAAAAGACACTCTGTATACCGGTACTCAATCTAGCCGTAGCAAACATCCCCTAAAGTACTATTTCTGACTTTAGATTCGGGTTAAAGTTTGGATATCGTTTGACGATAACTAGATGAGCGACTGACCGACTGATCTTCGATACCGCGAAACGCCCTCTGCGAGGAGTCGAGGATTTTGACAAAGTCTGTTGCTTTATTTGGAGTCACTATACACCACAATTATAAAAGAGTATACAAAAACGCTTGATTAGACGGTGAAAATATGGAGAAGGGAGATTATGGGACTGTTAGAGATTTCGACGGCCTCTACGTTGTGAATAGTCGATGGGTCTGGCCGATTCTAATATCACCATACTATATTTGTGAACTTCGGCAATGAAAGCCGCCGCATGCAAGATTAAGATGTTGATTATTATTAAACATATATATCGAAATATATCGAAAGTCCTAAGTGTTCTGCTTCTTTGTGCCAAGCGATGTCTCTTATCAACTGAAGAAAGAGATTGACGGACATAGAGCAACATACATGAGAGAAGCTTATCATGATGCGAAGTGAGACAGAGAGCTCGCACGTTTGTTTTGCTACTTATATAGTTGGGCACACTTCTGATGAGCAGGGAGTGGATAGGCTAGGCTCGCTTTGCAACCTCTCTTACCAATCACTTTTGTACCATCATGGTCAATAAGGAAAATGTTGTGTGCTGGTGAAGTTTATTATGTCTGATATAGCGCTGAATTTGACGTTTACTCACACAACCTTTGTGAAAAACATCCGTGTTAATAGAATAAAAGCATGCAGAAGCCCCTGGTACATACGTGAAGACCGTAGCAAAATTCACGTTCCTACGCATTACGAAAATTTGTGTAGGGGCCTCTATATTTTAAAAAAGACTGGGTATTGGACTTTACTTACTTGATTTTAAGTTGGACCCAGAAAACTCTCAGCATCTAATTTATATCATGCTCGACGGAGTTTCCTCTGATTTCCCATTCGGCTACAGAACAATTTGAGAGTAATAGATTACTGGTGATTCTCAACAGCCCGTACTAATCTACTTTCATTCAAGTGATACACCAGAGTATAGTGTCAGAACCGTAATCTCTACCGTAGGAAGCGAACTATCCATATCAAGACCACTACTTGCAAGTACCCCTTTGTAAGATTTATCTCCAATTTGAGTTAAAAACCAAAGGCACTTAACGATAACCAGGAATCTTTATTAATTTACCCACGTACAAGATGAGCCCAACTCATGACCTCCGCAAAGTGACAAGGTAAGCGAAACAGATACGCCACACAATAAATACTCCTCTCCCTCCACCCTATCATACAGAGACTCTCGCTAATCACAATCCCAGATGGCTAGGAAGTCCCATCGTTCATATCCTCGTAGGCTCCTCATCCCAAGAGTTCGCCGTCCATAAAGATCTCATATGTTTCACCTCCCCCTATTTCCGGGCCGTTTTCACATCTGGATTCCAAGAGACAAACACAGGGACCATTGAACTGCCCGAAACGGATACGAAAATCTTTGATTTATTCATGGGCTGGTTGTATACTCGGGAACTTAGCAGCGCGAGCCTAGAAATTGAAGAGTGGGAGACAGAAGCAGAGCGAAATGTAGTGGCGGAGAGTACGTTAGGTATTGGAGATCCCATCGAAATGAATGAAAAGAAAGATTACTCTGGAGACTCATTAAGTAACGAGAAAGTTAAGAGAAAGATCCAAGCACTTATCAACACTCTCGAAAACGAAACGTGGAAAGGCGAGGCGGAGACACTTTCCGAAGATGCGGTCGGAGAAGATTTCCTCGACATTCTCGCTGCGCAAATTGACAAGAAAGTCAACAATGAGATTCACATGTCCATGAGAAAAATACTGAAACTCTATGTTTTCGCAGATATGGTTCAGATACCCGCTCTTAAGAATTGCTGTATCATAAAGTACGATGAGTTTCATAGAAGTATCAAAAAGCGATGTGATAGTCATGATCATGATGATTTCGAAATGACTCTCGAATCGATCTCATACGCGTGGGAAAATACCAGGGGTTCGGATTTGATCAGGGTGTATTTACTTGATTCGGTGTCGTGGAGATCAGAACCGAGTATTCGGGATGGAGTTATTAGGAAGAGGCATCGTGGTGGTTCAGTAGATGATTTGAAGAGATACTTCGAGAGGGTGGATGAAGATTTCGATTCTTAAGTACTTGGGAGACGGGTGAGTACTCGACGGTGGCGAATCTATGCCAATGAGCATGAGATCAAGACTTCTAGGCCATTTTTTCTTATGGGGAAAGAGAAGACTGACTCTGGTTCATCAGTCTGAAGATGTAAATTATAATTAGAGCATCCCACTTGAACGATGTCCTTAACCTTGTCCTTTCTGGTTCGAATTCTGTGACAAACGAATGCACCGCACATGGCGCAAACGTTCTACCCAAAAATCCAGACTTCAACATCTTTTCACTAACTGGTCTTCACCAGTGTGTGAAAGGAGGGGAAAAAGAGTGTTCATCACGGAGAACTATTGAATGGATTGTTTCCGACTCAAGAAACACCTCCTCATGTGGAAAGCCATCCAAAACAACTTACTATCATATCAATTGACGCATTTAGGAAAGAGGGGATATCTTATTATTTCAATGAATCTCAAAGTATGTAATTAAATATTCGTAAGCGCAACCGCAAGAGCTAAATAATCGAGCGTCTGCATGTCTATATATGAATGTTCGAGCTGTTTCCTCTTCTTGAATGAGATACTATGATTGATAAGACAAGGCAACGTTTGAATCCTCATACTGAAAGCTCCCATATAAGTGATGATCGAACCATCTCAACCTTCACCTCAATAAAAGGCGCTACATTTCGCTCAAAGGACGGATCATCAAAACAGCCCCATATTTACAACCTTAAGCTTTCTACACCACTATTCCCGCAGCTTCACCATTATACTTCTGGCTTCCTTCCATAAACGAAATGAAATTTCATGTAAACATGATTCAAGGGATTTTTCATATCATTCCTTGGTCCCACCATCATCACTTGTGCCTCCTCGAAGCTATATCCCAATACTCTTGTGAACAACGCCATGCTGATTGGCTCGACGGCATCCAAACATTGAGCTTGATAATACATACCAATCTCCTTGAGTCTTTTATCTTTGGGCCAGCGTCCAATGGGTACTTTGTAGACTTGATCATGAACATCAACAAACCCAGCATCAATCATCCATTGCTTCTGATTTCCAGCAACTTCATCCATCATCTTTCCATTCTTAACACTTGCTTCATCAATCAATCCAAAAAATCTTTGCAGATCTCCAGCATTGAGATCAGTACCATCGTCACTCTCGATATGTACCTCGTGCTCTTGTGCTTCAACCCATCCTCCGGGTCTAACATGCGTATAAGCCTGACTGAAGAATTTTGGCCAATCTGATATACTAGATGCAAGAACTCTCCAGTGGATCAAATCGAATTGTCGGTTGTTAGAAAACAACCATTCGTTCTCAGCATCATCGATCATGAATTTACAGTTCGGTGGTACCCAACCCGGTTGGATAGGACTTAAATCCGTTCCGGTGACTTCAGCGGAAGCAAATTCATCAGCACACTCAATTGCCCAAAGACCAGTTCCAGTTCCGATATCAAGGATTCGTTGAGGATTAGGATCTATAGGTGCGCAGAATAGTTTCCCACCAAGAATGAGCTTGAACACGTGATGTTTGAGATCGAGTCGTTGTTGTTCGGCTTCATCATTAGGAAGGAGGTAAGAACCGGACTGATAGGCATGATAACGACGACCATTTTCGTAGGTGTAGTTTAACATGGATGAAGTGATAGATGTAGAGGCTGTGGATACATCGTCGTCGTCCCAACTGGAATCAGCATCGCTATGAGTATCCTAAAGTTGTGGCGCTTTTAGTATTTTGGAAGTGAAGTGAAGTGGCGGATGGATCACATGATATTTGATTGATTATCATTATCCTGACAAAGATAAGAAAGAAAGCTTTCTCTACTTACAACTTCGACATGATCATCTTGATCTCCATCACTTTGATTGGCGATACTTTGATTCACGGTTTCGGTTTCTGTATAATCATGATTTCCCGTTGTGGTAGTGGTGGATTGATCGAGGGATGTTGGTTCTGTTGATTGTGGGGGGACCGAGGTGGTAGAAGTTGTAGCTTGTGGAATATTTTGTTGTGATTGATCTGAAGTAGCTGCTGTCGTTTGTGGTATATCTTTTCCCGTTGATTGTGACATGTTTACTTTGGTGTAGATGTTTTTGTAGACTCCTTATAATAATAATAATAATAATAATATGATGATGATGATGATGATGATGATGATGATGATGATGATGATGATGATGATGATGATGATGATGATGATGATAATGATGGACAACTGATGATTCGACAATTGACACACGAGAGAACAGAGTTCGATTGCCAGTAAAGCTTATGTACCTAGCTAGTATGTTGATGATGATCTAGTCCAACCGCTGCGTCACGGGCCGCCTTTTATACGTAGGGAGGTTGATTGCAAATGGATGTGTGTCCGCCGGAGACCAATATGAATGAATATATGAAGGAGGAGATGAAAGAGGATGTAAGCGATTTGAATATAAATTTATAAGATATAAGAAATATATAACGTTATCGATTTAAAGGTTGATATAAAGATGGATATAATTTCACTCGACTACGAGGTACCTAGGTACGGAGTAAACGGATAGGGTTTTCAGAGGAGGATAATTGCAATGTGAATACCTAGTCAGCTAGTCTCTATTCGTAGTATGAATAGAAAATAGAAAATAGAGAATAGAGGTGGATTAGAAATGGATAAAATGGATACATAGACGAGTTTGAGATAATTCCGAGTTTTTTTAATTAATTTTTTTTTCTGCTCCTTGGTTTAACTTACGGTAAAGATCTCAGGAAGCGTTCAATTGTGTTGTGTGATAGGCTCAAAGGATCAAAGGTCCATGTGTTCATGTGTTCATATCAGATCTTCAATCAAGGGAGGTGTAAATGTAGGGTATCATTGCATGGGAGGATCCAACTCCCCGGTCAGAAAATATATGTGTACCACATGTATATGGATGTGTGTATGCAGGTGTGTATGTATGTGTATGTGTGTTTATATACGTGTGTGGAGTGGAGTGGAGTACAGAGAAGGTGGTGTCTAGGTAGACTCAGGACTTGTTAGAAATCAGGTAATAATACACTCACTCACACACTCACTCACTCACGGTATGTTTGTTAATATATACCTACCTCGCCTACCTAGTAATCATTGTAACAATATCTCCTTTCTCTCTTATTCTCTTTTTAGGAACGGCGGTGTGTGTATAAGGTAATCGTACTATGTATACCTATCTATACCTTGCAAATATCATTACATCGCTCGAGCATGGTACAATTTGTATGATGAACTGGTGGACCCCAATGATAATACACACATGTGAAAGAATATGATACTTTTATGATAAAATATGATACAGATCATATAATATATCGATTATCAATTGAGTATGCATTAAACCCCTCAATCATCCTCCGAATGACCAATTAAATGTCTCCTCTGATCTCTAGTTATAATCTCTTCGTGTATTGAAGCCGCCACGCGAGCTACGAAAACGAAGCCATTGTGAAGAAACCACTGATGATTGATTGATCATTGATCATTGAACCCTCTCGAGCGTCAAGACTCAAGACTCAAGACTCAAGACCTCCCCCTCTTCTTCTTGACATTTATTTCCCGTCCACACCTACAATAAGTGGATCTATAATTTGCTGTATGAGATATGTATGGTCGGTATGTTATCGGATCACATCTACTTTGAGCATTAGTATAACTGTTGTAACCCCACTCACCTTGTCTTCATCTGTCACTCACGGATGATGGATCGAATGCATTCATGAAGTTGTGACATGTATGCATAGGTACCAAGGGAATGCCACGTTTTGATGCCGGAACATCCATGTGTGTATGGTTGCGTGTGTGCGTGTAGGTGCGGGCAATGTTGTGCGAGTGGATTTCCTAGGTATCTACTGTCCGCTCTTGTGAGTAGCTCGTGACACCATACCATTACATTCACTATTTACCCTACTCTTCACATCGCAAGTTTTTGCATCTTGCATCCTGCATCCTGCATTTGGCATTTGTCTTACCATACATACCATTCGAAAACATTACCCAATCCATAATCTTTGCTCACTGATTACCATTCCGGTCGATTCATGCAGCTGCAACTTAAATCTCCGATAAGACTTACATAGATCACTTGCACGGAGCACTCTACAAATCAGGCCAACCAATCACCATTATCATGGAGAAATCCCCAGAATCATTGGCGCAAGAGATTGCAAGTATGAGGGAGCAATTGAGTAAAGTCAGTGAAGCAATTGATGCCTATGAATCAGTAGCCACTCAAAATCTAGCCAAAAAAGATATTCAATCTAAAGGAGGGACCAGCCAAAAGCATGTAGAGCTCTTCATGGAAACGGACAAGCTGGTGAGGAAAGTAAGGGGTCCAGTGGATATGGTATTTTCCAATTTCGAAAACGTAAGTCTACTAGTGTTTGGCAATACAGGTCTGGCTTTCATGAGGAATATCAATCACGACGATGAGTCTTTACTATTGAGTGATAACATATGTGGGTAGAGCAGGGGAAATATGCAAGCTGACTTAAGATTCGTCACATATGAATAGTCAGTACATTCAGGAACTTTGAGAGCAGTTTTGGAAATGGGTGTATTTGATGCTTTACCCACCGATGGTTCATCATCTAGCGCTTCAGCATTGGCGGAGAAACTCGGCGTAGAGAAAGAACTGCTGGGTAAGTGTTTACGTTCCACGTTCAACATGCTTTCAAACTGAATTCGTACCAGTTCGATTCATGCGAGTCCTTACGGCCGTAGGACCATTTGCGGAGACAGGGGAAGAGGAATATGCTCATACACCATACTCCATGGTGTATATGGCCCCAGAACTTAGGGGAATATTCAAATTAATGTCAGGAAATCATTCCCCCATAGCTCCATCCCGCATCATTCCAAGATGCTTCACAAATTACCACTACTTAACTCTAACGCAAATCAATAGGTTTGATGAATACAACCTCGCAAATGCTCGAATGTACGAGTTTTTCCGCGAAAATGGCTTCAAGAGTCCAGAGGATCACCACCTCAATCC